AATATTCATCTAAGAATTTCCTCTTTTTGACAGCGTCTTTACTTAATCACTTTTAATCAGTTTATGTTTGACAATATTTAAACAAGTTTTCGTTTTGTAAAAAATTACTAGAATTAATTTTTAATGAATTAGATCAAAATAAAGACTTTCAATTTAAAAATGATTATCAACCAAAAACAAAAATGAATTTACTTGTAAATCAGTATTGTATCTTTTTAAGAAAACACTCCTAATTTAACTCATTATTTTTAAAATTTATTCTGAATAAAGTATACACCATCATGAAATTTACACAGAAATTATGTATAGTTTATTTTACTATTTTTCTGCACCTATTTATCTAACCACCACATCTTATATTCCATTTAAAACGCCCCAATCGTAAAAATAAAGAGTCTATTTTAACTTGAATAAGTCAAATACTTGTTAATAGCAATCCAATTTCAGAAATAATTCTTAATTGTAAAGTAATCGAAATGAAATTGATAAATATTCTATATAAATATTGAATAATATAAGAGAGTTAAGTGATTTCTTTTTCCTTCTTTCTGGTTATTTATATAACACTTATTAAATTCACTACACAAAAGATAATTCATTTCTATTGCAAATAATTGATAATTTAATTATTTACTTGACATAAAAAATTACGAAATCTATAATAGTGATTAGAATAAAAATAATTTATTTTCTTATTATACATATTATCGTATAGACCTACCCAGACAAGTATTAACAAGTTAACTACATTAAATTTTTTAATTTGTTTTGTTTCTTGAACTATCGAGCTAAATTTACAACCCTATTTTAAGAAGATAATGATTTTAATGTAATATGTAAAGAATTACAAAGAGTAAACTATTATTAAACATTTTTAGTAAAGCAATACATATTTTATTACAATTTATAAAAAAAACATTCTAAAGTTGATTTTTACAAATAAGTTTACTATAAAATGTGTTAAATTTCAAATTGATATAATAAGTAATTAATGAAAACACGATTAATCAATAGTTACTTCAAAAGTTATTAATTGAGTAAGCACTTGGGGAAAAATTCTTGTAAATAAAAACAAAATTTTAACACATTTTCCTCAACCCTTTGCACGAGTTAAGTAAATAACACAAAAAGTAATTACACGAAACTTTTTATTTGTTCCTTACAAATAGTCATTTTGGTCGTCGAAATTTGAAAAATTAAATAATTTAAACGTAAATATTTCTTTTTAAAAGTTTTAATGAATAACTAAAAATAATGTTTTTTCCCTCGAAGTATTAATTTTTTATGCGGTTATTTTGTTTACTGCACAATTTTTGAATTGAAAACAAAATTTATCCTTGAAGTGTTAGTATACTTAGTATACGTAAACAATAATAGGTGACAAAAACAATCAAGGTTATTTATTATCATCCAAACGTATCATGAATGGTAATCTTGGTCCCATAATAACAACCACTTATATTCAAAACAAGATTATTTACACAAATATATGATTCAAATAACAATCCAACAACACCCCAGCACGAAAACAACCTTATAATTACAATTTGTAGTCCTATGAAATATCCTCCATTTGAGAATTTATACAAATTAATTAATTGAACTTTATTTTTGATAATTTTTATTTCTATCGAGATTATAATTTCAAACTTCGAGAAAGTAACCTGAGCCTAAACTTAATATCAAAAAATTTTATTGAAAATCCAAATGATCTTCAAATAAATACTTATTACTAGGTACATGTCAACAACCCAAGTAATATAGCCTTGAACTTTGTTTTTTATTGATTTAAAAATTGTTATTGTAAAGTAAAATTTGAAAACAGTGAAAAACACATTAAACTAACATATCACTGTAAACTTAAAAAAATAAAGATATTTTTTGATACAGCATGCAACAACAATCTTATTTTTTATTCTATTAAGTTTACTCAGTAAACTTGTGTTTAAAAATACTCGAAAAATGCGTGTTAAGACGATTGAGTATTGACATAAATAATATTAACATCTGGATTAGCTCAAGCTAATTAAATGAGGATCACTGTTCTACAACGTGAGTCCCAATAAAAAAATATAATTGAGAACAACTATTGTAAGAATAAATTAATAGATGGCTAACTAGTTACGGTTAGCTTAAACTTGATTAAAATTAGGTTAAACCCTTCTGTCAATCGAATGTATAACTAAAAAATATAATATTGTATAATAAATTATAGTATCCTCACAATTTGAAAGCTAAATAGTTTATTTGATTTTACTAAGTAAATCCAGGGAATATAATTTCAATCCTTTTTTTTTTTGTGTAAACCAGTGTCTGAATACTTTCTAGTTTGTGGTACACAATAAACGTCCATATAAAAAAATCATATAGAATATTAGTTTAAGTGATTTATTGTCTTGCATCATAATCAATACAACATAATATTTTTAAGTTTCAAAAGTAGCATAAAATTATTAATAATTGATTGATATTAGTAATGTCAGAAATCTTCAAGTAGCAGTCCTACAGTAATAACAACAAGTGACTACTGTTGGACAAAAACCACAAAAATGAGTAAGCACTCGGTACGTGGCTAATAGTACATTGATCATAGTGATAACAACCACAAATTACTATGAATATACATTTTTTAGAGTATGTAGTGAGAATACAGTCAATATTGTGATGAAAAAGCAAAATACTATCTTTGAGAGTATGTATCCTACATATGTTTATGATAGATAAACGGTCGAATCATTTTTATCTATGGCCTATTTTTATACTTTACAGTATCATCAAAAAATAATTGTTATTCCATCGCTCTATTTTATGTTATAACATTTATATCAAAATATTAATGTGTATGCAATTATTTTGAAATATTTTTATAGGTGCATTTAAAGAAATAGAGTAGATATCCGAATGAGCACTACTAGAGTACCAACATTTTGGATCGGAAATTTTTTTTATTAAAATTACTGCAAAAAGAAATTATAATAATAATAAAATTGATAGATTTCTGAATTTTAAATTGAAAACCGCTTCAAAAAAATATCATTCTCCGATAAATGTAGAAAATTTAATTTTGACAGAATTTCAGTGCTTACTGTCTAACATAACTAAAAAAATCAATTTTAAATACAAGAAGATGTTAAATATTAACACTATTTAAACTACTGAAAACAAATTCAGCCAATTGCTAAAAACAAATTAAAGTATCTGTCGACTTTAAACCGGCAAGCTAATTCGTCGCCAAGTAAACGCATACAGAGTGATCGCAGTTAGAAAATTAAGCCGATTAATATTAATAGAATTTTTTTATAATATATTAATATACTTAACTTTTTTTTTTCAATTTTGTACTCACGTATTCATAAAATGTTATTTTTAATCAAATTCAATACATAAATTTATATTTGTTTATTATCAGGGTTGTTAAAAAATATGAAAAACCTGTTAAACACATAAATAAACCGTTTCAAACGTCCCATGTGACCAATGAAAATGTTGATATTTTTGTTGTTTCAAACACTTTGTTTAATATAGATGAATACGACTTAATTAAATAAAAAAGGTTTAAACTTTAATTCTATTATACAACTGGCCCTACTATCAAGGGGAATATTTCATAATCTAAACAACTGAACAAATATCTATGTTTATAAGTTTAAAGGGTTATTCGTTTATCATAATCCACTCAATTACTCTCTATTTAAATGCGATATTAATGTAATTTTTTTTTTAATTACATATATTTTATTATTTATCAGTTATTAATTTATTTTTAGCATCATCTCTTATAACATATTCTGATGATTTCTTCAATGAAAACACACATATATAACTAAAATATAAAATACTGGTCTAAAGTTGTTTTTGAATCTTCGTTGTCTTAATTAAATAATTTCCTTTTTATACTTTATAAATCACTTTATATGAGTCCAACGTTATAACACAATTTCGGGCTCATTTTGTACACATTATGTACTACATAAATAAATATTAATTAAGAATATCGTTTAAAACTTTATTTATTTTTAAAAGATAATACAGATAAAAAAATTTTGTATTAAAATGATATTATAAAAGTAAAAGTTTAAAGGGCACCGACTGAGTTTATTAAATTAATATACATAACATGATACATATATTTATTTATTTAATAATAATAAAATAATATGTATCTTAAAAATGTATATTAAAAAGTAAATACTTCTTGGCTTTGTATCGAAGCTAAAATAATAATATGTATGTAATTACTAATTCTAGTTAAACAACATCTAGATACCAAATTAAAAATAAAAAAATCTTACATGAAAATTAATAAAATAAAACAGTGTAGTACATAAAAATTATTCGAAATAAGTAAAATTAAATAATATTTATTTTGAAAACTTTTGGTAAAGGTTTTTTATTTATTGTCAGTATCTCATAAGAACTAGTATAATATATTATTTTTTGATGTCAGTTTAGGCGTTAGTTACATAAGGAGTTTATTTGTTTTTCTTTTTGACTTGTTAATTATATTTATAATTAAAAAAATTTTAAATCACTAAGTATACAAGAACACGACATAAGTACTTAATCACACGCACAAAAATAGACAAAATCGTAAAAAGTTTCTCTAATGAGATAAGAAATTTTAGTTTTATTATTTACCCTTGAAACCTTATTAACGATAAATACAATTTATTAATTGACTTTGAAAACAATATGTAGTTGGAAAATAGCAACATTTTTGAAATCAACAAAGCGTTAATAAAAGTGTACAAACATAATTAATAAACAAAACGGTTTGTTGGTTCATTAGCAACATTTGCTTCTAGACGATTTTGTCTATCAATACTGGTCAATCATCAAAAAATAATTAAAGTTTTTTTAATATTAATTAAATTATTTTCGTTATTAAATAACTTAACATCTGCAATTTTTAGAAACATTGGTAGATAGAGTTATATTCAAAAATGCACCCAAAGGTTCCGATCAAATGAACATGTAGTAACTCTTTATGACAATAAAAAGTAAATTTTCAACGATTTTTAAGTATCAATGCGATCATAAAATTGTTCCGTAGAACTATAATAATATACTGTTTTACAAAAAGTATTAAAAAGTAAATTTTAGTTGAAAATGTTCATTTGTGGACTTAATGTCCAAATAATATATTCGCATAAAAATTATTAGCAATAGATACAATTTACAAATATATTTCATTGTGAGTGCAAGTCACCATTTGTTTTTTGACAAACAGACATTTTTCTTATATTAACATAATAAAATCATACAAGTTACTTTTCTAATAATATGTTTTTTTTAAATTGACATTTGTGAGTCATGGATTTCTATGAAATAATATGTACATTTTGGCGACACATAATTCTCTTGTGTACAAGTTTCTAATAATACCAATGTTTTTCTTGTTATTCATATAGATACTAAGTGCCATTTCAATACCTAAAAAAATAGTTAGAATATAAATCAAACAAGAATGACTTTATTGACTTTTAGTAATCATTAATGAAATCAACTACCTTAAAAATGAATAATAAAAGTTTGAATTAAAAACATTTTAACCAAAAAAATTATTTTTAGGAAATTTGATCGTTAATTGTATAGAGTTTAATAATGTTAAAACCTTTATAACTAAGAATAATATTTATGAAATAACCGTTCACGATTTTTTCAATAGCCAAGAAATTAAAATCTCGCTGCGCTATCATGAATTACTTATAATGGGGGGGAATAGGTGAATTGCCCGCGTTTATCCATACATTTTTTTAATATCATAGTAAAAGAGTATTTTGCACTCAATAAATGTGGTTATTATCATAAAAACTCACATAATATTTTTAAAAAACAAATTTTTACATTATTTAAAATTATAATTATGCATTATATATATATATATATATATATATATATAAAACTAGGATTTCTGAATATATATAACTTGGATTTCCCCAAGTGTGCGCTAATGGGTTGGTAATGGGCTCTCCAACTCTATTATTCTGTGATTTTTCCTTTTTTTATTTTCAGACATCCCTAAAAGTTATTTATAATCGCCACTGTTAACTTAAAGTTGCAGGTATATTTTTTATACTTTGGTAACAGGACAAATTTAAATATAGTTTCCGTTCATACCAATTTAAGATGTTGTTTGTTGTTCTGAACTTGTATACTTATGTATGTTGTTTTTCATTCGAAGATTGATGAGTAGTTTCGTTTTTTTTTCTCAACAATTTATCAAAATAGAATTTGATGATGTGTCGCTTAATAAACTACAATTCAACAGCGTATTAGTTGTTTTTTACAAATTTCTAAGAAAGTAATAAATAACTAAAATAAACTAACAAAATAATAACCAAGAAAACAGATTTCCCAGCATTATACATCGTTTTAAATGTATACATTTGAATTACACGCCTGGGTAGTATACCTAAACGTATATTTTTATACGGAACGCATTTGAATGTACGCTACAAGAAATATCATGTAATTTCATTTCTCAGAGACTATAATTTAGGAACTTTATGACAAAATATTCTCCGCCATAATAATAGATTGTTCGTTTTGCTGGAGCGAAAATATTGTCTTTCCACGATGAACTCAATCCACTACATGAACGTTTTCAAGTACAGGAAACTCTAAACTGTATCGGTGTTCGGCAACATGTATGTGGATAACGGTCGTAGCTCCCACGGTGAAATTGCAACACTGTTCGCAATTCAAAAACAACAATTTACGCAAACGTTGTGAACTGAAAAAAACAACAAAGTGTTATGCTCAAGGAGAAAGACGGATAAACGCGTGGAAAAGAGAGTTGTATTATAACATGGACGATTGGACGCCCGGAGAACCAATTTTCAACGGGAAAGAGTAAGTGAAAGAAAGGAGAGAGAGAAAATGATAATATAGGGGGAATCCGACCAGATCAGCTTGTTGTTGTACTGCGGTCTAAAACTGGTAGATCGGATGACTTGTAAAGAGGAGGGGTGTTCTGGATATGCTACGAGCACTTCAGAACGAAGAAGTCGCGATGCAGTTATGCAATTACTAAAAAAACATGTATAAGACCGACAGTCATGGTATTACTGGTGCAATCAAAATATAATGCGATATTATTATAATGATGACCACTGGGACCACCGTAATTGGCATTTTCTTCGGTCAATTTTCCTGTGAATTACACGCCGGTCAGTCGTGACCCAAGCTCGCGGCCGCCTTACAATTGTTTCTCCTCCGCATCGATCATGACTAGCAATTCCTAGCTCGTGCTTTTCTCCAGAGTAATGGGCACACATTAAATGTAATATAGAAATGAAATATAAAACGGTTGGGTTCCACAGTAAATTATCGTAGGTACTGTATTCAATCAAAGCGTAAGAACGTCCGTCTTCCATTCATCTTGGAAAACTTCCGGATTCTCGGGAATGGACGGAAATAATAAAATACTTGTGGGGTCATTGCAGTCCTGAGGGAATCGTGTTTTCTTTTCGCGGTGAACTAAACGCATTTAAACACAAACGTCGGAAGCATAAATAATGTTTTCCATATTTACAATTTTTATTTTATAACGACTAAAAAGGTAACTTTTCTGACATCGAAAACAATACCTACTGAAAATGTCATCCCTTGTTCATAGAATTTTTGTTTTCCGAACACATTAAACATTCAAAAAGGTACTGGAACAGACCTGCTCAACGTTTTTTACTCAGAACGGAGGATTTAGTGAGCGTTTCACAAAACCCAAAACATATTTAAATGTTCAGACAAATTCGTTGAAATCTGTACAATCGTACAATGTAGGCGCACTAAAAAAATACACACTTAATTAAACCAACAAGTATCCAAGAATGTTTTAGTCTCCTCTCGGAGACTACGATGAAAATATCTATAAATTCAATTATTTCTAATTAAAACAAAGTGAAAACTAGTTTGTTTAGTCAGAGAATTTAATTAGATTCACTTAAAATAAATTATCTAAGTTGATGAACCAATAATTTGTCGACTTTATTAATTACTATTCCTAAATTCAACTTCCAAATTATCTATAATAATTATCTAATAATCTCTAACGAATAATTGTAACGTTGTCAGGACGAAGTCTTAATTTGACTATAAAACCATATTTTAGATTATTATATTTTCTTTAAACCAAACAAATGCATTTTAATTTTACAAAAGTTTTCTATTTACAATTTGTGATGATATTTAAAGAACCCAATGGACGTTTTTTTATAATATTAAAAACAATAACACATATATGTTATATACTACAATACTTTCACAATCAATGTATTTTATTTCATTGATTTATTTAAAAAATTATACTGAAACCGATATTAAATTAGCCATTAATAATTTATAAATAACTGGCATCTATTAATGACATTGTTTTTACTATGTATAGAGCTCAATAAGTACTTAACGATGAATATACATTTATTATTTAAAATTTAATACCTGTTTACGATAAATATCAATGGCACATACGTAGGGAGAGGGAGTAATTTCAATTCACTACTTGACTTAAAATTTTTTTATTCTTATAACTCATTTAATAGGAAAAGACTATTCTATATTTTAGGCTCCAAATAACTTTTATAATATAACAGAGGGAAACCTGTGTACGCTTCCACATCTAAGCTATTTTAAAAATATGAATAGTTCTTATAACGTTACAAGAAAGTAAAAAAATTATTATTTATGAAACTTTATTGATCCAAAATATTTTGTCCACCCATCAAAATATAACTCGACAATCACAAACAAAGTTTTATTATTAATATTGCACAAAACACAAGTTGATCACTTTTGTTTTAACTTTATTAAATCAATTTTACAACCAACCAAAAATTAAAAAAAGATGATATTTTTTTACATAATAAAAGTTACCATAATGTGTTTTATATTTCTTCTGTGTATAACAAATATTAACAAGAAACCGTTAAAATACTAATGTAGATTATTTACGACTAAAGGAACACATGAAACGAACACTAACTGCTGAAAGTTATAAATAATTAATTTTCTTTAGAATTTAAGTTTTCCGTTATACTTCAATGACTTCATGAAACCAAAATCGCGAGTACGTTTAAATTAAGATTTACATAAACCATTATCTATTCATACGAGGAAGCTTATAATGAAAGCTATCAAATTTTTATGATTTTTTGATTACTTTTTTTAACCTACGTTGACTTTATTATAGTTAAGTAGACGCGTTGAAAAGGGCGAGCCTTCCTGAATTTTTACACATGAACGCCCAAACTTCTCAGTACTCATAATTACAATACCCATTACGGATATCCTCTCCAAACGGTACAAATAATATATTTTTACATTTCTAACCAATAAAATAATCTCTTAAATTATTTCAGAGTACAACTGCATACGAGGGGAACACTGCAACGGTAAAATATTTGTTCTCTTTACTATTTACTAAAAATGCAAATTATGTAACAGACATGTACATAAATATAAATGTTAATCTTCGGTCGTACGCTAAGAAAAAACCCAAAGTATTAGTATAAATGTATCAAAACAATTTCTTAATATTCGTATACTAACATTTGTTTAGTCAAAATTTACACATATTTTTTTTTTTTTGTGCTATGCCACTAAATAATTAATGTTATTCATTTTTTTAATACAGTAGCTTTAAACATGAATCATCAGTTGTATTACAAAAAAAAAAAATGTTTATTATCTAATCAGTTAACTTAATCGTTGCTTGAGATATTTTTTTGTTATTTAATTTTTTTTTTTTTTAATAATAAACAGATTTTTTCTAACTTTCTGATTTTTTCATTTTTTACAATATTTTTAAGTAGTGTCACTGTTCGTTATGCTTTGCGTCTATTAATTTATGAAATTGCAATGATAATATTATTATAATTGATTAAATAAGAATATACTAAACGAAAAAATGTTGATTATTTTACATCAAATATATGTTCGAATTTTAAATTTAATGGGGTTTACATTATGAGTAATCCGCAAAACACCTGTACAACTCGTATGAATCATGCCGAACACACAGAAAACAAAACGGGAGAATTGCAGGTGCTATGTGAACGCTTACTAATTAAACACAATTATACCGATAGATTTGTCGGTGTTGAGTTAATAAATATATGATGTGATGTGCATCAGTCAGATCAATTGTATGAACGCGAGGAAAGCTCAAACAAAGTGAATTACGATTATAAAAAAACAGACGAAAAACTAATAACGATCATGAGAAAACAAAAAAAAAATCCTCCTAAAAGTTGTACAGCCGAACAAGAGAAAATAGTGTTTAGATATAATAGATTGATCAAATTTAATTCCAAACGCTATAAAGTTTTTTGAACAGTTGGGATTTTCGATTCGCACTCAACCCAACCTGCACTGGTAGTAGTACAATGATCTCTACACACTGGTCACGTAACCCTATCGAAATTCAAACCCCGTAGCATTTTTGCGTGTTCCAAAGGCTTTGGAGACCCGTCGAATCAAATGGCCCGTTAACGGTGCCTTATATAGGTAAAAGACAAAGCGACGTTGTGATAAAAACAAACGTTTCAGTCGGTCGGGTCCATCGTCATCCATGCCAACTTAGTTTTTAATCGTTTCAATAACAACAAAAATAAAAAAAAGCTGACTAGTGAATCGAAAATTCACTTGTGCGTAATTTATCGTACGCGTAAAAACGTTAGTGGTCTATAAATACATGACATTTTTTTTTTGTAGTCATTAACTTATTGCCGAATCGACGAGACGTCTAGACTCCTTAGGTTACTCGCGGGGGTCAAACTTTTTGGTCAGCTAAAGAGTCACTCAAGCAAATTTGTTAATCAATGTTCTTTTTTAACCATATCTGTCGTTTTTCGGATGATTTTTTTTCCACCGCATCACTATTATTGTATACAGTTTCGGTTGAGCCAACTTGGATTACCGGATTCGGATAATTAATTAGACATTTTCGTGGTCGTTACGTTAATTTTTTGTCATATCACTAGGCGATCATTTGTTTTAACCGGTCAGCATATTAGCCTTGACAGTGCGGTGGTCACAGCCCAACGACAATCAACACATATTGTTATATACGGCCGTGTCTTTTTGTTATAACAAAACACACAAAATATCGAAATTCAAATTATATACATGTACAATTAGAATTTCTACAGTTTAAGTCACACCGCGATAACTATCACCGCCAAGATTGAATCTCATGTCCATTTAGTTACAAATACGGAGCATATTAAATGTAATAATTATTTAAGTACAGTGTAATAAAAAACCGTATCGAAACTACCGTTTTTGGTCCCAACTCGTTCGCTGTAAAATTTGATACAATTGACAACAATGTCGTGTACACGCAATACGAGCAACGATATACAATAATAGTCAGAAACTTCACACCGCCGCAATTTCTGTGTAGGCCTACAAACATTGAATGTGACAGCATATATTTTTAATTAATTTTTTTTATAACAATACTCCTTATTATCTTACACCGTTTCGAAATCTATACAGCCAAACGCTAACACAGTATATTGAACTTAGATAAGACATATTATTCTATCTAAAGATTATCGTTTTCTCAATTATAGTATAATATACTCGCGTAAACATTTAACCAGTTTAAGTTGAACATTATTATGAAAATAATTATTTGTATTTGCCTAGAAATAAATGCAACGTAATAACATGTTGATAAATATTTTTTAAAATCAAGGTCAAGTTTAAATTTGAAAAAAAAAAATGTTTTCATCTAAAACTGGTTAGTATAGTTTTTGGCCTTTAGGACTAGATGAAATTTATAATTTATATTAACTGGTGAAATGTTCATATAACACGTGTGATAAAATTAAATATACATACACATATATATAATTTTTTCAACAATAATCGCATTTTACTTTAACAAATTAATTGGTACAAAATTTATCTATGGGTGTCTGTGTTTATACAATTTTATACGTTAAAAGATCATGTAGAAATATGGCTACTAAATGATAATTGTAAATGTCAGAACTTGAAAAAACAAAATCCTGTTTCTCTGTTTAAATTATTTATGATTAATATGTTGTGTATCAGCTAGATAATAACCCAGGTAGTTTAAACAACTATGAAATGGCAATCAAAAAAATTTTAAACAATTTTATTGTAAATTATTATAATTTATTATAAATAAAAACGAGTCGGTTGGTACAATGTACATAGTATAATAATTATTACATTTT